GGAGGGAAGCAGAATTTTTTGAGGTAACTTTTACCCCTAAACTTTTACCCCCCCTTGGTTGCAGGATCTACTGCATCACAGATATCGACCCCGACCACCGGAAGCTCAGCCAGCTGGAGGCCATGGTCCGCTTTCTGACAGGGGAGGACCCAGACCTGGAGTGTGCGTGCTGTCTGCCCACTGAGGGCTTCCCTCTGGGACCCTGCAGCTCAGGACTTTGCAGGAAGGGAGGGCTGAGGGCTAGGGAAGAGCTGCCAGGTAGCTCTATCCTGGGAACTCACTGATGGCTCAGGGAGGCCAGGGAGACTTCCCAAGACAAAGCAGAGCCAGCCTCACTGTGGGGCCAGCTGGTCACTAAGTGTCCTTGGAATGTGGTGCATGAGCATATCCCGTGTCAGGGACTGGGATTTCGGCAAACCTCCTTCACCTGAGCACTATTAGGGCTCCGGAGGGAACTCCCACAGTGTCAGGGCATCCGCCTGACCTTCAGATCTGTCCCACCACCACCTGGCAGTGGCCCCAAGCCAGCAACTGCGCTCCAAAGTCCCCATCTCTGCAGAGAGAGCGTATGACCAGACGGCCTCTCACAGCCTGTGGGCTATGGGTGCTTTCTAACACCTGGTTCTCAGACTAACCTTAAGTCCCCTCCACTAACTCAACTGTGAAATTATGGGGCCACTCCCTCATCATGGTACTCCTTTTTGGAAGAAAGAGCAGGTCATTTTGTCACATAAATGTCACCACCAAGAGACGACTCCACCTTCCATGCTGTCCCAACATTCACTCCATGAAGAAATCTGTACTGAGCATGTCCTCTGTGCCCGGCCTGGGCAGGCACTGAAGCTCCAGCGATGCCCAATTTATGTTCCATGGACTGCACCTCAGTAAAAATAAGTAGTTTAAAGAGAGCAAGGGAAAAGAACGAGCCACCCATGCAAAGAGCATCCTGAGCAAGGGAACAGCATGTGTGGAGGCTCTGAGGCAAGTTCAGGTTCACTGAACGGCCAAGGCCAACCTGCGTGAGGGTGTTGATCAAGGTGCAGGGCCGTAAGCATGGAGACGGAGGGCGGGCCTGGCACCAGCAGAGGCCTGATGTCTCTGAGGAAGTCTCCTGATTTCATAGAACATTCTCACTGAAAGAGCGTTAGAAATCATTTAGTTCTGCTCACATATTGTTTGAGGTTGAGGCAATAGAGGCTGGAAGAGGTGCTGTGACTTCCTCAAATTCACGTAAGTGGTTTTACGTGGTCCAGACCCACATTTATGAGGCACATCTTGTTCCTTGAATTTCAGACTTCCTCAATGGGGCAGACAAGCTGTGTTTATAATCACGGGGAAAGTAAGTGGATTGGTCTCCTTTGATTTTACACCCAGGTGACAAGGAGCTGGTGCAGGAGGTACTGTTTGATGCAGTGGTGACAGCCCCCATGGAAGCCTACTGGACAGCGCTGGCTCTCAACATCTCTGAGTATGTACCAGGCTGGGGCTGAGGGCTCCCAGAAGAGAAAGAGGTTCTGGCCCCTGGCATTCCCTTGGCTGAGTCAGGGTCTCTCTCACTAGCTGGCTGGCAGCTCAGGAGATCACCCATATCCTTTGGCCTAAGATGAACAGTGATGAGGGTGGGAAGACGCGGGGATTGAGAGCAACATTCATACAGCCCCGGTTAAAGCAGGAGCTTCGCAAAGCCTCCCCTCAGAAAGAACATCCCGAGTAGATCCCCCGGTCACAGGACAAGACCCCCAACCCACACCACAAAAGCCCCATCCCAAGAACCCCTCTCTCAGGGTTGGGCTCTTGCTGTGAGAGCCACTAGCCAAAGTGCCCTGAGAGCAGTTCAAGCAGATCAGTGGCTTATCTCCAGCAGGTGAGATCAAGACACCATGAAGTACAAATCTGACCTCGGTATGTCTCAGCGCCTTAGATTTCCTCACTGCCTCTGCTGATCTTTACCTGGTGCTACTGTGTTTAGTAGGCAGAGAGAAAGAAGAGATGAACGGCTTGTGTGTGCACGCACGTGTGTGCATGTGTGTGCATTTGTGTCACAAGCACATGAGTGTTGGGAGGGGTAAGACATTAATGAGGTTGAGAATACAGTGGGCCACACTTTGCTCCTGAATAGGAAAATTCAACACCAACATCATAAAAATGTCCAGCCTCCCCTAGACACTCGATAAATTAATTAATACTGTCCTAATGAAAACACTAACAGAATATTATAGAAACAATCACCTATTTAGAAAAGCAAGATGAAGAATGCTTTGCATAATGTGCTACCATTTCTATAAAAAGAAGGAAAAATGTAGTCTGTGTGTGTGCATATGCAGGGTGGGGCAAAAGTAGGTTTACAGTTCATATGGAGATAGTACAATAATTAATAAATAATAGAAGAATAAACTGTTTCACATGCTCACAACTGTAAACCTACTTTTGCCCCACTATGTATATAAAATGCCTATGAAAGGCTTTATGGGAATAGTTCTCATTGGTTGCTAAAGTTAGAAAAATGGGTAACTGAAACAGGGGTGAAAAAAAAATACACTGGGCCAGGCACTATTCTTAGAACTTAGTGTATATTAACTCACTGAGCCTCATGGCCACCCTACTGTCTTACAGGTGCTATCATTATCCCCACTTTACAGGTGAGGAAACCAAGGCAGAGTAAGATAAGCAACTTGCCAAGGTCATATGCTTCACATGTGGTGGAGCTGGACCTAAAACCAGGCAACCTGATTCCAGAGTCTAGACTCTTAGCTTCTGGACTGTCCACTTTCTACAGAGGGAGTTGGAGAGAAAGGGCATGAGCCTCATCTTTCCAAGTTCAGAGACTAGCCAGACGTGGTTTTAGTGTTAAGAAACATTGAAGAGCAAAGATTCTCAACAAGGGCATGTATCAGAAAAGATGACTTGGGGAGCTAATATAAATAGCATGTTAATAAGGCTAAGAAGGAAAATTATATAATCATCTCCATAGATGCAGAAACAATATTTGAATAAATATTAATATCCATTTATGTTTTTAAAAACCACTCAATAAAATTAAAATTGACTTAAGCTTGAAAGTCAACATCTGAATGGGGCTAGAGGCTCTCTCAGTAAAGATAAGATCTAGACTGGACCAAAGCCCCCACTGCTGTCTAACAAGGTCAGAAGATATTCATTTGTGCAACCAGATGAGAGGACATACCCAGAAGCAATGAGAAGTGGGAAGGAAGAAGCAACCTATCTCTGTTTAAGAAGATGATTTGTTTGTATACCTAGAAACCCCAAAAGAATTAGCAGAAAAACTATAAATAATAAAAGAATTTAGTAGGGTAGCAGTTTATAATATGTACACTAAAAAATTAATAGCCTTGTTCTATACAAACAAAAACCAGATATGAGATATTTGAGAAGGCCTATTTAGGAGAGCAAAATATAAAATATAATAAAATACCTAGTCATAAACTATAAGGAATATCCCAAAACTCACATAAAGAAAATTATAAAGCACTCCTGAAAGATACAAAGTAGACTTGAACAAATGGAAAGATATTCAGTGTTTTTAGGTAGGAAAATTCAACCTCACAAAAATATTAATCCTCTCTAAGTTAATTTATAAATTTAATACAATCTAAATAAAAGTGCCATTAACATTTTCCTCAATCCAGATAAAGTGATTATAAAGCTTTTTTGGAAGAACTGGAAAGAATAGTCAAGAAAATCCTAATATTAAAAGCAACAAAGGAAAGTTGGTCCTGGCAACATATTAAAACATATTACAGAATCTCTTACAATGTATAAAGTGTGGTATTGACTCATGAATAGACAGGCAGACCAAGGGAACAGAATAGTAAATCCAGCCCAGAGTGGTTCCATTGGTTGAGCATCACCCTATGCACCAAAAGTTTGCTGGTTTGATTCCCATTAAGGGCACATACTTGGGTTGTGGGTTCAATCCCCAGTCAGGGCATGTACAAGACACAACTGATCTCTCTCTCTCTCTCTCTCTCTCTGTCTCTGTGTGTGTGTGTGTGTGTGTGTGTGTGTCTGTCTGTCTGTCTGTCTATCTCTCTCTCCCTTCCTCTTTCTAAGCATGTCCTCAGGTGAGGATTACCAAAAAAGCATAGTAAATCCACAGCTTCACCTAAGTGCATGTGGAAATTTAGTATATGACAAAGGTATCATGTCAAGTCAGTGAGGGAAAGATGGACTTTAATAACTGGTTTGAGAGACATATGGAGAATTATAAAAATTGTATTCTTTCCTCACACCGTATACCTGGATAAAGTCCAAATGATTCAGAGATTTAAACGCAAAAAATGAAACCACATAAATACTAAAAAAAAAACATGTGCCAAGTCCTATAAAATCTAGGAGCGAGGAAACCTTTCCCAATGATGACTCAAAATTCAGAAGCAACAAGGGAGTGACTGATAAATTTAACAACATAAAAATGTTTATTTAGCAAAACTAAAACTATGAGCAAGGTGAAAAGAGAAATGACAAACCAGGAAAAAAATGTCTGCAACTTGTAAAACCAAGGTTACTATTTCTATATTATGATTTCATGATACATAAAGAGCTTCAAAAGTAGAGAAGTAAAAGACCAGCCACTTTATAGGAAAAATGACCAAGAGATATGGACCAAGAAGATACATGCAAGTTGTCCTAAAATATATGAAAAAGTTCTCAATATAGCTCTCAATAAAAGGAATGCAAATTCCAACTGTGCCAAGATTGTATTTGTTACTTATCAGATTGATAACCATCTAAGTTTGTTGATGTGCACAGTTGGTGAGGCTATGGGGAATCAGGCAATGTAGTATATTGTCAGTGAGAATACAAAATGTTTCAAAGTCTATGGAGGGGAATTTGGCAATCTTTAACAAAATTACATATGTATTTATACTTTGATCCAGCAATCCCACTTCTAGGAATGTATCCCAAAGATATACCAGTAAAAATAAGAAAAGATATACACATGAGCTATTCATTACAGCATAATTTATAACAGCAAAAGATTGGAAATAACCTAAATGTTCATCAGTAGGAAGCTAGTTAAATAAACCATGGTAGGTACACATAATGGAACACTGTGTAACTGTAAGAAAATGAGAACTATTTCACAGTAGTCAGACAAGGGGGGGGAAAGGCATCCAAATTGGAAAGGAAGAAGTAAAACTATCATTTATTTGCATATGATATGATACTACATATAGAGAACCCTAAAGATCCCACCAGAAATCTATTAGAACTGATAAATGATTTCAATAAAGTTGCAGGATACAAAACTAATATTCAGAAATCAATTGTATTTTTAAACACCAGTAACAAACTTTCAAAAAGAGAAATTAAGAAACAATCCCATTTATAGTTACATCAAAAAGAATAAAATGCCTAGGAATAAATTTAAGCATAGAGGTAAAGACCCGTACTCAGAAAACTGTAAGACATTGCTGAAAGAAACTAAAGACATAAATAAAAAGAAAGATATATAATTCTCATGGATTGGAAGAATTAATATCTTTAAAATGTCCATATTACCTAAAGCAATCTACAGGTTCAATGCAATTTGTGTCAAAATACCAATGGTATTTTTCACAGAACTAGAACAAATAATACTAAAATTTATTATGAAACCACAAAAGACCCCAAATAGCCTGAGCAATCTTCTGAAAGAAGAGCAAAGTTGGAGATATCATGCTACCTAATGTCAAACTATACTACAAGGCTATAGGAATCAAAACAGCATGGTACTGGCATAAAAACAGACACTTAGATCAATGGAACAGAATAGAGAGCCCAAAAATAAATCCACATATATATGGTTAATTAGTCTATGACAAAGGAAGCAAGAATAAACAATGGCATAAAGACAGTCCCTTCAATAAATGATGTGGGGAAAACTGGACATATACATGCCAAAAAAAAAAAAGAAACTAGACCACTTTCCTACACCATATTCAAAAATAAATTCAAAGTGGATTAAAGATTTAAATGTAAGACTTGAAACCATAAAACTCCTGGAAGAAAGCATAGGCAATACTCTTTGACATCACTCTTAGCAATGTTTTTTTGAATTTATCTCCTAGGCCAAAGACAACCAAAGTAAAAATAAATGAATAAGACTTACATTAAACTAAAAAGCTTTTGCAACACAAAGGAAACCATCAACAAAAAGGCAATCTACTGAATAGGAGAAGATATTTGCAAATGAAATATCCAATAAGGAGTTAATATCCAAAATATATAAAGAACTCATACAGTTCAACATAAAAAATAAAGACCCAAACAATCCAATTAAAACATGGGCAAAGGACATGACTTTCTCCAAAGAAGATAGACAAATGGCCAACAGACACATGAAAAGATGCTCAGCATCACTAATCATCATGGAAATGCAAATCAAAGCTACAATGAGATGTCACCTCGCACCTGTCAGAATGACTATTATCAATAAATCAACAAACAAGTATTGGCAAGGATGTG